GAAGCTTCTGGGAAGGGGCCCAGCGCAGTCAGGCAGCATGCAGCAGGCAGGCCGCTTCCATAAAGGAAAGTGCCTGCCTCCGCATTGGACATTCGGGCACTCGCTGCTTATGCGCAAGCGCTGCTGCGCCGGCTGCTGGAGCAAGTGCCTACACGCTCACGGACGAACAGGGAAGAAGCAGGCAGCCATAGCCAAGCTGGCCTTCGCATTGCTGGATGGGGCGCATGGTGGTCCTTGGGTGCATGTGGCATCTGTGCGGGGGATCGAGGTTGAGAGTGAAGTGTGAGACATACCTGGTGCTTGAGGCGAACGGCATTGGCCGAGATCTGCTCGTACTTTGGGAGGCTGTTGACGTCACTAGCAGCATTGTAGATAGGCTAGATAGGATCTGCCATTTGTAATCTGGGCGCTGAGCGCCAGATAGGGATTCGACATTGGTTCATTGTTGATGATGATGAGACTATTCCGACATTGTCACTCGTGAGATTTTGCTGTGCTCTTATTTGGTGGAACTCAAGCTGCAATTCTGCTTTTGGTTTGAGGTCAAGACTATCTGGTTTTATGTGTATGATGCTGCTCGATTTTCTGGAACTCGCTATCACTCATTTTACTTGCATATTCACTACATTGTAATATTTTCTCATTAGCCGCAACACTATCACGTTATATTTTATTATGGTTAGTTTTCTTATTTCATAATTTATACTCGTTACATCACATATTATTTTCTAAAATAAATATTTGCACAATTCAATTATTTCAATATGAATTAGAAAAGTATGTACGTACTTACGAATCGTGAAAACTGAAAACGAGATCGCAATATGTTCCTCCCTCTTCAGGGCTGTGAAGAGATTTATTTTTTCCTCTTTCTTTTCTTTCTGGAAAAAAGAAAAAAAGAGGGCATCACAATGTTCACATCCGTGAAGCCTTGACATAGGAATCGGAATTTCAACTATATAAGCACGCTGAGACAGACTTGACTTAATCTGACAGTAACCACGCCTAGATACATTCACGACAATAGAGGTGTGAGTATATGCCCGAATTGACAGTCATAGGTGCGTTATCGTACAGCAATCAAACAGGAATGGAGTGTGCCAAGCTGTATTCCTTGGTCCCAGGGACAGAATACCATCCCTGGGACAGAGTATCATCACCGCAAGAGAAAAGCATCCCACGGACAATGGCATCACAAGAACAGAATAGCGTCACAGCTACAGAATAGCATCCCAGGGAAAGAATGGCATCCACGAGACAGAGTAATATCCCAGGGACAGAATAGTGGCCCAGGGACAGAATAGCGCCACAGAGACAGAATAGCGCCCGAGAGACTGCATAGCAACCCAGAGACAGAATAGCATCTCAAGGAGGGAAGGACATTCTGGCACACAATAGCATCCCAGGGACTGAATAGCATCCAAGAAACAGTAGCATCCCAGGGACGGAACACCGTTCCTGGACAGAATAGCGCCAAAGAGACAGAATAGTGCCACAGTGACACAATAGCATCTCAGGGAGAGAATAACATTCTGGCACAGAATAGCACCCCAGGGACAATACCATCCCAGGGAAAGAATAGCACCCAAGAGACAAGAGTAGCATTCGATGAAAATGACCCTTGGTTTTCTTATAAATGGCATGGCAAGTGGTTTGAAAATTAGGGTCTCCATTAACCTTCTCTACCCAGGGACACAAATGGTTAACGGGGACCCCCAGTTTCAGGCCCTGGGTAACGGTCCTGAACTGAAATTAGGGTTTGGGGGTCAAATTTTATGTTTAAAAAAAAAAAAAAAATTATGGCCTGTTCTTGTTTTGGTTCAAGGTTGCTGTGTGCCAAATGTGGTGTCATTTGGAGAATTGAAATTTCCATTTCCTCTGTTAAGATTTCTGAAATTTCTCAAGAACTCTGAAATTGGACTTTCGGCAAAATTTCATGAAGTGCACTTTTGCCTTGCTGTTTTATACGTTTTTAATTTTATTTTTTCGGTTTTTTTTTTGCAGTTAGTTAGAATGGTCTATGAATTGGTGGCAAGTTTGATTAAAATGACCCTTCTGTTTTCTTATAAATGGCATCATGGCAAGGCATCATGGCAAGTGGGTGGTCTGTCTGAAAATTAGGGTCTCCATTAACCTTCTCTCCGAGAGAAGGTTCTGTGCCTCGTGCGACTGGCCCACCCATCAAATTTTAGGAATTTTGACATAAAAGGCTCTAGTGTGAGTAGGCCCTCACCACAACGCTCAGCTAACTAAATAATGCCATAAACGGTAGAAAGGGGCAGAGAGATGTAGATCGATTTAACCCACAGTACAAACAAGCAACTGTCCGAAAAAACAGACCAGGACTTGAAATCAAATCCTGATGGAATCCTGGGATTGCCATACCAATTGGAACTGCATAAGGTACCAAAGGGAAGTGGTTCAAATTGATCCATACCATTGAATGGAACTGTATATGGAACTGCAATTGGTGGTACCTACATGCAGTCTAAATGTCCATCCTGTGGACCAGTCATAGCTACTTGCACCTCGGTGCGCGGATTTGCGCACGAATTGCGCACCGCGCGCAGCGCACTGAAGCGCAGCGCACTGGAAAAATTAGGCCCACACCAAAAAAAAAAGAGTAGGGGTTCCGGAATTTCTTAGGGACCTCAACTCGGCAAAAATGTTAAACTCACCGCGCAAGCTCAGACACCGGCCGCACCCCCAGCTCGAAATTTTCTTTTGGGTAAGGGCTGCCAAATTTTGATTTCCGCAGGCCCTTCCCCCAAAAGTTTCAAAATGGCAAAGCATGAAAATAGGGCTCATTCATTCTTTTTTTTTTGGCGGGGTATGATTTCCGCAAGCCCTTCCCGCTCCCTTCTGCAAATCCCACACAGTGGTGGGGTAAGTTCGCAAGAAGGGGTAGTCGCCTGATACGACCTGCCCCGCGAAGCTTCGCAGAGATCACAAGTTGCATTTTCTACGGCCAGCCGACCACCAATATATGCTGAAGATTGGCGTTCAGGTCTGCATGTCGGCAGTTATGGGTTAGGATGAAGATGCCCGTGGCTCTCTCGTTTTCTTGTTTTTGTTTTCTTACGAATACGTCCAGTGCGGCCTGCTCCACTACTCACCAAATGCACAAAAGACAGCATATGGGGGCGTATGGTTCCACGTTTTAGCAGAAGATTCATTCTACTAATATTATTTATATACATTTGGTGAGTGGTGGAGGGAGGCCCAGAGAATCACGTGGAGACACAAACAGGGCCTAGCTGAACTGGTGACCAATAACTGCCGAGCTACAGCCCTGACCTTGAACCCACAGCATATATTGGAGGCCCAGAGAATCACGTGGAGACACGAACAGGGTCTAGCTGAACTGGTGACCCATAACTGCCGAGCTACAGCCCTGAACTCGAACCCACAGCATATATTGGTGGTCTGCCCCCATGTCTTTCATGCATGTCGAGGCCATCCTTCTCATTGAAGCAGCAGCCCTCAATGGCTCCACAAGCGTTGTAGGAGCCATTCGAGGTACCTGCAGGGGCCCTCGAATTGACAAAAATGGGACCCCTTGTTCTCTCTCTCTCTCTCTCTCTCTCTCTCTCTCTCTCTCTCTCTCTCTCTCTCTCTCTCTCTTTCTTTCTATTTTTTCTTTTTTTTCTTTATCGCGCACATAGCGCACCTCCCTCAGCGCGTGCACCGTGCACAGCGGACCGCACAGTGCGCGTGCTGTCATTCCAGCGCACAGCGCAGTGTGCACCGCCCCGCACCACACTGCGCACTGGTGGACCGCAACTATGGGACCAATCATACACACATGGAACTGTTGGTGAACAGACGACGAGTTCATGTCCTGAAGGAATCAAAGTTTCAAAACGAACACCATAAACCTTCTGACACAAATAGAAAGTCCGTCATTATCGGGAATACAGGCAGGCCTCGTCAATGTGAAAATACAGGATTCCATAATATACAGTTCCATTCAATGTGAAAATACAGGGTTCCACACAGTTCTGAACCAGTTCCATAATCAGTTCCATTCAACGTGAACCAGTTCCATATACAGTTCCATTCAATGTGAATCAGTTCCCTACAGTTCCATACAGTTCTGAACCAGTTCTATAATCAGTTCCATTCAACGTGAACCAGTTCCATATACAGTTCCACTTGATGTGAAAATACAGTTCCATATATAGTTCCATACAGTTCTGAACCAGTTCCATAA